AGGTATACTGTATATTGTACTTTATACTGTACTACATCTCAGAGGTATACTGTATATTGTACTTTTTATAGGTTAAAACTCTATAAACTATTTTCTTTACGAAACACATGAGTAGGTGTCTCTAAGCTAGCAGATGTTAATATATAATATAGAGAGAGTTCTATACGTCGTACTGTAACACAGAAATGAATAAATCAGTTATTTTTGAGCATTTTGAGATCAAATTTGCTGTTGCGCTCATACGATGATGACGTTTTCTAACCGGTAGATTCCGTATGATTCCTGTCCAAGAAGCAGATTATCTAAATGAACTCCTCTTCTCATGAGATAAATCTTCTCTAAGCCGACATGTAAAGAGTAAATAGGATGACTCTGCTCTAAGAAACGGGCGTTTAGTACAATCTGAGAGCACTGATCTGATTATTTCATTCCAATAGTTTTATTTCAGATCCTTTTTGTTTCACCAGTGCTGGTTAATAGCATCATCCCCTCTTCCCCAATGAACTCATGAGACCAGTGTCTGTGCCACGTCTTGGTGAGCGCTGTCTAAGCTCAGAGACAATCATCAGGGCCCGCGGAAATAATGTCTGACCAACAATAACTGTGTTTTTATTGATTTCTCTGTCGCTGTGAGTTGCTGCTTATGAGAAACAGAGAACAGCCGTGCGTTCACACGAGCAGGCGGTGGTGATAAAATATGGCTGAGCTCAGGTAAAAAAACAATGCTGACTGAACGCGTGATACTTGTGAATTATCTCTCATTTAATCCTCAGGAATATCAGATGGAAGCTCCTACCTCAATGTGCTGAATTGGATGAATTTTAGGAAGTGAATTCTCTGCAGTTTTGTGGTCCTCCGGTGTGTTTAACTAGAAGGTGATGATTAAGACGTTGTTGGGGAAACTTAACTTCAGAAATGTACCTGCCCCTATACACAGTGTTTTATTTATGAGTGGTTTTCAAATAACAGCAAAGACCAAAGTTAATTGTCAGGTTTAATCTAGACTTAAATGAATTAATCTGGAGTTTTGTCCACATCCTCTAACTCCACCCAACTACAGTGAACTCATGTGTCCTGGATCATTTAAATGATCGCTCGGTCGTCTTCACTCGCCGTCGTTTTGACACAAAGTGCTCTCTGAAATATTAAACTTAAAAGTTATGAATCTGCTCTTTTCTTCAATAATAATTTTTGAACAGAGAAAAAAACTGTATCATTCAGACATCAAATGTTTTATTTACATTTGAAAAAGTTTTGGCAGCAAAAGAAGAAGAATGAAAAGATTCATTCAGTCGATGTCTCACAGTTTTATACGACAGGAGGGAACGCTGTTGAACTTGGATGTTGAATTAGTTTCCAGTCATGTGTAGGCTGCTTTTATTGTGAAACTCTTGATGCTGACACAGGAAGCTGTTCCCGTTGAAATCTAAACTTCCAGTTTCTTTAACCAACGACTGCTGCTTTCTTCTCTTCTTGTCTAACTGTTGCTCAGAGGAACTTTGTCTCTTTCACTTCTCCGTCTGGTTGAACCATCGAGCAGCGTTTTGTTCTCCATGTACTAAAATGAAGAACATCTAATATGTGGTCTTGTCACATTACCATATATTTGTTCTCTGTGTTCTACTCAGGCATCCTGAGGTCCAGCCCCAACAGTGGCATCCTCTCGGGGTCTTCTTCTTGTGCTAGAGTTCAGATCACCATTCATCACACTCACCGCTGCTCAAGGTAAGACACCCCTCAGCTTCTTCTGACTTAATGTTCTTTTAGTTTGGTAAACAGTGCAGATGTTTACGAAGCTCTGCCCGGTTAATCTCACATTTAACCTTTTTAACAGGAATGATTTCAGCTTTGTGGATCGTACCGACTCTATACCGTCCCATACAGTATCTAAACCTACGTTCTTCTCAATCCCACCATCATTATTCAATTTACAACTGTGCTCCTGTAGTGACTCACTAAACATAGTACAGCCAAAGCAGTCTGGTCCCAACATGTGTTTTCATGCACATTTTGAACTATTGCACTAGAAAATACTGTATGGAAACGGCAAATGTCAATCCCAAGGAAAGTGTTTACTATTAAAACTTGCCCAAAAATCTCCATTCTTGTCTTGTGGATGGTTAGGTGGCCGAGGTGGCTCATCTTCCACTCTGTTTACTGGTTGTCTACAGCCATGCGTAGTGACCCTAGCCCTACTGTAACCGAGATTATATGCTCCAAATCAGTTCATCTTCCACCTGCAGTCGGAGCTCCGGAGGGAGGAGGAGAGCTCAGCTCCCGGCAGCAGCGTCTCCTCCTCCTCCTCTTCCAGTATAGGAAGGGAAGTGAGGCACAGGAGAACCAGAACCAGGACTGAGAGGAGCAGACTGTCAGACCCTGCTGCAGTAACATGAGAGGTTTTCTAAAGGGACTCTGGTGCTCAGAGACACTACAGCTTTAGTCCACAGGGGGCGACAGAATCAACACAATATGAAAGCTCCTTATCGTCAATTTCAAGGGGCCCAATACGAGATCTGCTGCTATAATCATTTAGAGTGTTGTATATCATAAAGTCTGAGGTATTCTCAAACTCCACCAGTGACACTGACTTTCATCGGCAGCCATATTACTCTTGCTGGGTATACATATTGTCAGTCAAGATTCATATTCAACCTTTGAAACAAAATGAAACAAGACGCCTTGTACAGAATGAAGACAGTGGTCTTCTTCCAGAAGACACCATGGTGCAGTCAACCTCCATGTGTGTCCTCGACTGTGGAGATGTTCTGTGTCGTCACGCTGCTCCATCTCATCATGGTTCTCAGCGTCACACGTTTGTATGGACCTCCTGACATCATCTCATGTTATTCATTTACAAAGCTCTGCTGTTGAAGCACCCAAACTACCTCACGTCTAATCTCTCACTTCAATCTATAGCTTCAGTACACAAGTGATCACATGACCGTAGATGTCCTCAAATAACAGAGCTGGTTTCAGGTGCGATGCACCTTCTAAATGGAATAAACCTGTGAACTCTTGCATTCCTCTTGGAGATTCTGACACTTTATCTGATGTTCTTTTTGTTTTTAATTCCTTGTTTATTGTGTCAAAGAGAATCTCAATGAGACTACCTGATTAAATATAGATCACATAAAAACATTTAATAAAGCTGCATTTTGTGTCTCCAGGTGATGTTTTTAGTTCCCGACCTACATAGTCCTCCTAACGCAAATTACATTTTTATATTAATCTGTATCCTCGACTAAACCGAACTCTCTTTCTTCAATATGTGATCATTATCCTCGTCCACGTCACACCTGACTCATCGTCACTATGGATTCAGTGCTGATTCACTGCCTCACCTTAAATCTACCCGTCTGCACACAGCAGACACCTGTAAGACAAAAACAAGCAAACATCCAGCTTGTCGGACTTCTCGGTGTCTCCTCATGGCCTCTCGCTCACATTACCGCTAACGAGAACACTCCATAATGTCACACCTTCACGGGGCAGTGTGGGTGGGAGAGTTTGGCTCGGTACCACCTCTGTCACTCAGAGCTTTATTCATCATCGCCATGATTTTCTTTTCCCCCCGGAGGCTGTCGGTGCTGTGCGCCTCTGAAATGGTCCAGATGTCGCTGTCATGTTGCCCACAGCTGCTCCAGGAAACATTCACTGTGCAAACATTTTAGAAGAAGTAGAAGCCTTAGTGGAGGTGTTCGTCCCGTCCTGCTAATCTTTTTTGTCAGAAATTTCCATCTGCATTGCCTTAAAATGTCCCCTTGCACGAGTCGCTGTAAACGCAGTGAGACGTGATATCAATAAAAATATCTAGGAAGCTAAAAACAAATTGCCATTTGAGGGCGTAAAAAAACATCTTTAGTAAAGAGTGATATTTCCCCGCCGCCACCTTCACTGTTGTATCAAACCTTTATGTAAACCAGCGAGTGATTTCTGTGGAAACCAGATTGGTTGTCAGACACACACAACCCCACATTGAGCTGTTGCTTGCAGAGACACACGTTTGCCGATTGGCATTCTCAGCGGTGCGTTCGTGGCCCTGCTATTTTATTTTGCACAAAGGAACCAGAGAGTTCAACTTTTTGCGGCGCTCTTTTTTCTCCTGCGGTGCGTTCAGACGCCCTCCCTTCTGCCTTCTTTTTGTCAGGACATTGCCCACCGGCAGAGACATCACCCGCTGATGTTTCTTTTTAAATTGCAGCTTGTAATTATTTTATTTCATTATTTTATTACATTGATTTTAATAATAAATGGTTCGCTCTGCGCCACCCTTGTGTATTACAGTAATTACATGTTTTCCTTCCATACTGGTTTCACACACACGCTGCCTAACTCGTTTCTTTCAACACGCTAACCCTTGTTGTTAAGAAACAAACTGCCAAGAGAGTTGAGGACGTTCACTTTTATTCAAGTCTTCATGAAAGTTTAGGGTTGTTAAAGACAAATGAATGAGTCCGTCCCGTGCCGATGCTTGAAGAGGAAGCTTTGTGTGAGCAGCTCAGGTCTCTGATTTCATTGGATACGGGTTGTGTGATGCAATGACATATAATTAAGTTAGATATTGAGAAATGTCTAACTTTATTTATTTACGATACTTCAGTAATTAATAATATAACAGATGAATATTCACACTTTTTTTCTTATTTGATCGTACACCAAAGAAAACATACTAATTAATCTTATCAAATGCTACACACTGTTCCTTTAAGTTATGTGACAAAACTACGGTATAATAAATCACCGTTACACCGTCTGATATCGGATGGGTTTACATCCAGGTAAACAGATGCTCTGATGGATCTATGTTGTTATTTAATCATGTTGTTCATTCTGTACATATATTGCTCTCCTTTGTTGCTCGCCTTTGTTGCTCTCCTTTGTTGCTCTCCCTGAGGTTTCTTCCTTTTTTTTAATATTTGAGTTTTTCCGTTTCCGATGCGAGGGTCCAAGGACAGAGAATGTCGTAGTTTTTGATTTGAGATATTGGGCTATACAAAATAAAATATAGTTAAAAATTGAAGGGTGCCTCGGTGCACATCGCCGAGGGCCATGGACCGAACGTCGACATTTAAGATAAGATAAGATAAGAACAGATAAGAACAGATAAGATAAGAACAGATAAGATAAGATAAAATAAGAACAGATAAGATAAGATAAGATAAGAACAGATAAGATAAGAACAGATAAGATAAGAACAGATAAGATAAGATAAAATAAGAACAGATAAGATAAGAACAAATAAGATAAGAACAGAACAGATAAGATAAGAACAGATAAGATAAGATAAAATAAGAACAGATAAAATAAGAACAGATAAGATAAGAACAGATAAGATAAGATAAGATAAGAACAGATAAGATAAAATAAGAACAGATAAGATAAGAACAGATAAGATAAAATAAGAACAGATAAGATAAGAACAGATAAGATAAGAACAGATAAGATAAGAACAGATAAGATAAGATAAAATAACAGATAAGATAAGAACAGATAAGATAAGAACAGATAAGATAAGCTAAGAACAGATAAGATAAGAACAGATAAGATAAGATAAAATAAGAACAGATAAGATAAGAACAGATAAAATAAGAACAGATAAGATAAGAACAGATAAGAACAGATAAGAACAGATAAGATAAGATAAAATAAGAACAGATAACAACAGATAAAATAAGAACAGATAAGATAAGAACAGATAAGAACAGATAAGATAAGAACAGATAAGATAAAATAAGAACAGATAAGAACAGATAAGATAAGAACAGATAAGATAAGAACAGATAAGAACAGATAAAATAAGAACAGATAAGAACAGATAAGAACAGATAAGATAAGATAAAATAAGATAAGAACAGATAAGATAAGATAAAATAAGAACAGATAAGAACAAATAAGATAAGAACAGAACAGATAAGATAAGAACAGATAAGATA